ACAACAGAGCAGAGCTGTTCAATTTTTTTTTTTTAACAAAAGCAATTACCGAAAAGTGCAAATCTTAACGTGTGACATTTAACACCTCTCCGTGGCAGGCAGGCTGCACTTAAATGGAGGCCTTTCTGCGGAACAACACGGAGCCAAAAGGCCTTGTGTCACGGAGTTATGTAAGACACAATCTCGCCTGAAAATGCACAATGAATCGGGAAGGATTTATGTAATTAATTGACCAGTCTTAACCTGTTATCGTGATGTAAGGAATTTGGAACTCATTAATTTGGGCCCTGACAGATTTCATATTAGAGCTGGCAAATATGGATTGAGCCTCTTATTCTTGTAGCAGCTGGAATTTCCATGACAGTGAGGATTAGTGAAGAAGACCTATTGCTGGAGTCAAACTGCCTCTTTTGTAATCAGCAGCCCTGCTCTGCATTAAAGGGGTAATGGGAAATAAAAAAAATAAATACCAAGCAAAAAAAAAAAAAAAGGAAAAAACGTTTTCCTGTATGGAGCAGAGCAGAAGGGGGAGGGAGAGGGAGGGTTATATCCTGGCGCGTAACAGCACCACGCCACTGCTTTTACTGCTCCGTTGAAATAACTCGGCTGCGAAGGCAGCTCCTCTGAGGGGAGGGTGCCCGGCGGGTGGGCCCATGGCGCCAGCGCTGGGCTTGCGGCCTGCCTGCCCAACCCTGAGACCCAGGCTGCCGGGAGCAAAAGGGGCCGCTCGCGGGCCACCAGGGCTGGCCCCGACACGGGCGCTGCCGTGCGTGAGTGAGGGGCGAGATGGGCCTGCCCGCGGCTGCGGACGGCGAGAGGAGCAATACTTCCGTCGCCTGCCGCTCGGCGACGGCCTCTGCGTGGGGTTTTTACGGTGCCTAGGGCTCTCGTGAGGGCCCTAACCTCCGTTACCACTTCCAGGCGTTGGTGTAACAGTGAAAACATCGAGTGCAGACTCCAAGGAAACAGTCCAAGAGCTTTTGTTTTCTCTTTTGGCAACTATTAACGACTGCACCAGTAATGACTAAAGTTTTTAGAAATGTCATTAAAAGGTTTCTGTGAGGCATCACCAGCTTAAAAATTGTATTGCTTCCTGCAAAGAGTTTACCGACTCTTGTGACAAATGCCATTCAAAGGTGGAGGTGTATTTTTCCTTTTCTCGTCATTTCTTTGCTATGAGCCCTTGGTAGTTGAACATTTCCCCTCCCCAGTCACTCAGTTTCCCCTTTTGTTCACGTGGGTCATTTCTCCAGGAGGAGGGAAAAAAATGAACAACAGGAGTATGTGATAGTTTGCAAAGACTGTAATGGCAGATACAGATTCAAAATAAAATGCAGCAAATTGGTCTATGTGACTTGACTTCTCTGGCCGACCTTGTCCAGGCTCATTGGCCCTGTCTCCCATCCTTGCGCCAGAGTGATTACGTGGAGCCTCATACCAAAACGAGAACATTCGGCCCTCGGTGTGGGAAGCTCTGTGTAGCAGAGCATTTGGTGCTGGAGACCTGCCCTTGCCAAACGGTAAACTCTGTGGAGAAGGGCTACCCCTTCTTCAAGGGCTACCACTTCTTCCTTGACTTCA